TAATGAAAGAAATTATGTGAATATGATCAGAGGTGAAGCAGCAATAATAAAAATAACAGTGGTACCATTTATTGACCGTCTGCAAACTACAGTGTTAGAACAGTTTACATACATTATTGAGTCCAATCTTTTTTTTTTTTTTTGAGACAGTCTCACTTTGTTGCCTTTGGTAAAGTGCCATGGTGTCATAGCTTACAGCAACCTCAAACTCTTGGGCACCAGAGATCTTCTTGCTTCAGCCTCCCAAGTAGCTGGGACTGCAGGCACCCGCCACAGCGCCTGACTGTTTTTATTTTACTTATTTATTTATTTGAGAGAGTCTCACTAGGTTGCCCTTGGTAGAGTGCTGTAGTGTCGCAGCTCACAGCAACCTCAAATTCTTAGGCTTAAGCGATTCTCTTGCCTCAGCCTCCCAACTAGCAGGGACTACAGGCACCCTCCACAATGCCTGGCTATTTTTTTGTGTCATTGTTGTTTAGCATGCCTGGGCTGGGTTCGAACCTGCCAGCCCCAGTGTATGTGGCCAGCGTCCTAACTACTGAGCTACAGGAGCCAAGCCAACCTGGTTATTTTTAGAGAAGGGGTCTCGCTATTGCTTGGGCTGGTGTCCAACTCCTAAGCGAGCAGTCCACCTACCTTGGCTTTCTAGAGTGCTAGGATTACAGGTGTGAGCTACTGCGCCCGGCCTTGAGTTCAATCCTTAATCTCATAAGGCAGATCTGTCTTCATTTTACAGAAAAAAAACCTGGGTCAGAATGAGGATAGAAACTTGCCCAAAGGCACACAGCCAATAATAAGTAAAGGAACCAGGATCCAAACAAACTGACCAACTCCTGCAATCCTAACAATATGCTATACTGCACCAAGAAAGAGGCTGGAAAAATTAGGTTTTAATCATTAACCTAACCCCAGCCCTGATCATGACAGAGGACTTTTTGCTCAAACTGAATGTTATGAATTATCTTTGACTTTAGAAATTAAAAAATATGAATGCATCAATTACCTAGGAAAACAAAGAGTTGGATGTTCTGGCATTAGAAGTGGAGAGTTTTTGAACTCCAGAAAACAGAAAAGGTAATCTACTGTCAGGCTGGTCAGGACTGTAAATAGTAAGTTAAAGACTTAGGACTTTATCTGCTAGGCATTGTGGAACCAGTGAGAGTTTCTATATAGGGCCAAAACAAAACATATCTGAGTGGTCTGCAAATTATGGACTAAGAGTGATTGTAGAGAAGAAGGATAAGGGTACAACCCCAAGGAATGTATACATTTAAAAATAAAGGAATGAAGGAAGGCAATGGAGGTTATATGGACATGGACCTGGAAATGGGAGGAGTTCTTTTTTTTTTTTTTTTGAGATGGAGCCTCAAGCTATCCCCCTGGGTAGAGTGCCATGGCATCACGCTCACAGCAACCTCCAACTCCTGGGCTCAAGCGAGTCTCCTGCCTCAGCTTCCCAAGTAGCTGGGACTACAGGTGCCTGCCACAGTGCCCGGCCATTTTTTGGTTGCAGCCATCATTGTTGTTTGGCGGGCCCGGGCTGGGGATTCGAACCCGCCACCTTAGGTGTATGTGGCTGGCGCCTTAGCCGCTTGAGCCACAGGCACCAAGCCAGAAGTTCTAATATAAAGTGGTCAAGTAGTAGAATGATGACAGAAAGAGGTCAGATTTGGCCATTGGTAATCAAATCACCAGTGACTTTAGAGAGAGCAGGATCAGGAAAGTGGGTGCTTGAGACCCACTTGAAAGGGGCTGTGAAGAGAATGGGATAAGGAGAATGTGTGCTTGCCTGGCTCATTCTCTGATCTCTGTATTAGCTTGCTATGGCTGCTATAGCAAAGTACCACAGACTGAGTTGTCTCACAGATTTGGAGGCTAGAATTCCCAAATAAAGGTGTCAGCAGAGTTGTTTCTTTCTGAAGGCTATGAGGAGGAATCTGTTCCATACCTCTCCCCAGGGTTCTGGGGGTTTGCTTGCAATCTGGTATTTCTTGGCTTGTGGAAGCATCACCATGATTTCTGCCTCCATCTTCACTTGGCTTCCTCCCTCTGTGTATCTGTGTTCAAATTTACCTTTTTATAAGGATACCAATCATATTGGATTAGGGGCCATGACCTCATTTTAGCCAACTATGATGGATCTGCAACGATCCTATTTTTTAATAAGGTCACGTTTGGAATACTGGGACTTAAGAATTTAATATCTGAATTTGTGTGTGGGAACATAATTCAACCCATAACATCCTCCCATTGGTGGAACCCAAAAAGAAACCAGTGCTCAAGGGAATTCATGGATGCAGCCCATATGAATGTGGCAGGAGGGAGCAAATGGATGACATTCAGTACATCCACTCTCCATATTTCCATCCCTAGCTGTGTGAAAGTCTCTGATTCTATGCATAGGGACCCAAGACTGGGATATGAAGAACATGAACTTGAGCTATTTATTCCTCTGGCTCCCTCCTGTCACCTTCCTCTACTGAAGGCCACAATTCCTGCCAGGCAGCCCCCTCTCTTTTGGAGATCTGGGAACCACTCCTTCTTCTTCCTTTTTGGTGCCCAGGAGTGGTGCCAGCTTCTTGTGGTTAGCCCCATTGTACTGCACTGTTCCTTGATGGTTTTCTCAGATCTTGCCCTCATCTTTGTAAATACTGCATGCCCTTTATTAAACTCTTATCAAATTACTCAATTTGAGTATGTCATCTGTTTCCACCAAGCCTCTGACTGATACAAGGTATATATTTGGAGCCAGCAAAAAACAAAAAACATCAACAACTAAAAATCCATTTGTTTGAGAATATGGATGGGTTAGAGAAAACCATAACCAAACTTGTCTATGTACATTTACTGCTGCATATGAATGGCTTAGAGGATGAGAGAAGTTTACACAGACTAAGGTAATATAGCACAGGAAGATTTCATCCATTTATTTAAGGTCTACTATTATGCACCAAGCATTACTCTGGGTACTGGGGGAAAAGGACAAATAAATCATGGCTCTTGCCCTCAAGGAGCTCACAATCTAGTAGTGGGAGACACACATGTAAACAGTTACTTGAATAAAGTATCATAGACACTGTAGTAGAAGTCTGGATGGGAACAAGAACTCTAGAATGAGCTGGGCACAGTGGCTCATGCCTGTAATCCCAGCACTTGGGAGGCAGAGGCGGGTGGATTGCCTGAGCTCACAAGTTCAAGACCAGCCTGAACAAGAGTGAGACCATCTTTTTAAGAGACCTGTCTCTAAGAAATAGCTGGGTGTTTTGTTGGGTGCTTGTAGTCACAGCTACTTGGGAGGCTGAGGCAAGAGTGTGAGCGTGATGCCATGGCACTCTACTGGGGGCGACAAAGTGAGATTCTGTCTCAAAAAAAAAAAAAGAACTTTGGAATGATCAACATATAAAAAAGGCATTAAGAATAGATGGGATTCGGAATGCATGTGAAAACCCCACACTGTACCCCAGAAGTGCATTAATGTACATAGTTACCATTCAATAAAAAAAATTAAAAAAAAAGAATAGATGGGATTAGAGACTGTGTTAAGAATCGGTTCTTGAGGGTCTGCAGTAATTAAGGAGTAGAAGAAACCAAAATAAGAGAGAAAATCAATGCTTCGGCTGGCGCCTGTGGTTCAGTGGGTAGGGCACCAGCCCCATATACTAAGGGGGGGGGTTCAAACCTGACCCTGGCTAAACTGCAACAAAATTTAGCCAAGCATTGTGGCGGGCACTTATAATCCCAGCTACTTGGGAGGCTGAGGTAAGAGAATCGCCTAAGCCCAAGAGGTGGAGGTTGCTGTGAGCTGTGACACCACAACCAAGGGTTGTTTGCCAAGGGTGACAAAGTGAGACTCTGTCTCTAAAAACAAATGAAAAGAAAATCAGGTGGTGCCTGTGGCTCAGTGAGTAGGGTGCCAGTCCCATATACAGAGGGAGGTGGGTTCAAATTCAGCCCCAGCCAAACTGCAACAACAACAGCAACAATAACAACAAAAAATAGCCGGGCATTGTGGCGGGCGCCTGTAGTCCCAGCTACTCGGGAGGCTGAGGCAAGAGACTCACCTAAGCCCAGGAGTTGGAGATTGCTGTGAGCTGTGACATCACAGCACTCTACGGAGGGCGACAAAGTGAGACTTAAAAAAAAAGAAGATCAATACTTTGTGTGGACACTTAAATTTTAAAAAAGAAAAAAAGAGAAGGAATAATTACAATAGTAGTTCAGATATATCAAACATTTACTATGTGTTAGGCATGGTGATTTATTTAGATTATCTCACTTAATCCTCTTCACAACTCAGGTACTGTTATTAACCCTGTTCTATAGTTCAGAAAACTAAGGCTCAAAGACATTAAGTTATTTTCCCAAGGCTGCACAGCTAACAAGTGTGAAAGGAATTGAACTTAGCTCTGACTCCAGAGTTTATCCTCTTAACTATTCATGTACTCAAAGGAGTAGGAGGTGAGCCAGGAGAGAAAGTAATATTATGGAAATCAAGGTAAGAGAAAATTTAAAAGAGAAATGAGTAGTCAACCATGACGAATGCCACAAAGATCAAATAAACTGATGATTAACAAGATTCCATTGGGTCTTGTAATTAGAAGATTTGAGGTGAACTTTGCCTGGGCAGTTTCATTAGCAAAGTAGTAGTGGGGGAACTAATTGCAATAGTCTGACAAATAAATAGCAAGTGGGAAAGTAGAGACTTGTTTTCAAGGAGTTTGGCATTAAAGAGGAGAGAGAACAAAGGTAAAAGTTGGAGCAGCTTAGTCAAGTGAGCCTATCTGTGCAGAGAAGTCCTAGGTTTATGTTAGCAGCAGTATGGATAGATCAGAGCTATGAAGCCCAACTGTAAGTGTAGGCAGAGGGGGATAGAGGTGAGGTCTGTTGGGGGTAGGTAGGATAGAGAGATTCACAAAGAGATCTAGATCTCTTTAAGAGAGGAGATCTAGATCTCCTCAGATTAAGATCTGTCCAGGGTACTGGGAGTGAGGAGACCACCCTCAGGGCTGCTGCCAACAGCTTAGTGGTAGGTAGGAATGGTTGGCAATGTGCGTGGTACAGCAGGACCCTGACTCAGCCATGGGTGGGCACACAGCTAGGGGCATGGTCCCCAGGCAAGAAGACTGCAATCCTCGATAGTCCATCTGGGCCTGGGAGGAATACAGGGGCAAGGAGCTCCTGTCTGAGGATTTAGGTAGGATTTCCAGGAGGCTGGGTTCCACTTCCTCACAGGTATCTGAGACAGTGGCCTTAGGCTGGGGAGAGATGCAGGGAGAGGAGTTGGATTAGTACAGGTCCTGTGGGAGGAAGGGCTGGATTGTGCAGAAAGGGGAAATAGGCTGGAGTAGTACCTGGGGATGGTACACTGGTGGATAAGGACCTTGAACACAGTGTGTTGTAGGAGCAAGGATCCAACACCAAGGCAGTGTTGGTGGAACACTCACCGGACTCAGGGCCACAGTATCCCTAAGGTACTGATCTAGGATCCGGTGCAGGTCTGGAAGTGAGGGCCACAGGGCATGCCTCAGTCTCCTGAGGGAAAATGAAGAAGAGACTAAATTATGGGAGTGATTGGGAGGGATGAGGAGACCACTGAGGTGGGGAAGTGGAGGAGGCAGTGCCAGTACTCTAGGAGAGAGGCTTGGAGAGATAAGAGTGTGGTCAAGACAATAAAGTAGAGAAATGTAGGTGGGAGAGGGGAATCAGTGGCTGCAGGTTCAACAAAGAGTGGTGGGGCTTTCCTCAAACATTCCTGCATCAGGGCCTTTGTACTTTGTTCTCTCTGCCTAGGACACTCAATTCATTCCCTCATTTCATTCAGATCTCTGCTCAAATGTCACAGAGAGGTCTTCCCTGACTACTTTGCCTAAACACACTGGTCTCCCCTTATCCTCCAGGAATATGTTCTAAGATCCCCAGTAGATGCCTAAAACCAAGGGCATACATTATGTTTATTCTTATACATACGTACCTATGGATAAAGTATAAATTAGGCACAGTAAGAGATTAACAGTAACTAATAATGAAATAGAACAATTATAGGAATATGTCAGCATCACTGCTCTTGCACTTTAGAGCCATTATTAGGTAAAATAAGAGTTCCTGGAACATAAGCACTACAATACCATGGCAGTGGGTCTGATAACAGAGATGGCTACTAAGTGACTAATGGGTAGGGAGCATATACAGCGTGCATATGCTGGACAAAGGGTGATTCATGTGCTGGGTAGAATGCAGAGATTTCATCACACTACTCAGAATAGGACAACTTAAAACTTATGAATTATTTCTGGAATTTTCCATTTAATATTTTCAGACTGTGATTGACTGAGGGTAACTGAAAGTACAGAAAGCAAAACCACAGATAAGTACCTACTACCATAGTACCACCTCTCTTCCCCATCACTCTGTCTCCTGTTCAGCTTTGTTTTTCTTTATAGCACTTATTATACTAATATAATTCTTACATTATTACATATATTTGGTTTTGTCTATCTCACCCCACTAGAATGTAAGATCCAAAAGAGCAGAGTGTTTGTCTATTTGTTGACTCCTGTATCTCCAGGGTATAGAATAGTGTCTGGCTGTAGTAAGTGGTCAATAATTACTTGAATGAATGAATGAAGAAAACCAGTGGAGCTTATTAGTAAGTTACTGGAGAGGGTGTGCCATCTGGGAAAAGTATGGATTAAGGCATGTTGGGGGAACCTCCAATTCTTTATCTTCATATTTCCACATGGAGGGACTTCAGCTGAATGACATTTCAGGTCTCTTCTGTGACATCACTTATATCTATCCTCAGGGGAGGAGGACTGACTTACCTGATAAGTTAGGGAAAAGGAACTGAGTATGCCTGGCTCAGCACCACCTTCTTCTTCCCCAATTTTTTTGTTGGCTCTGGCTACCTGCAGAGAGCCTGTATTCCGGTCTGCTCATACATATGGGCAGATTGATTTTATTTATTTATTTTCTAGAGACAGGGTCTTACTCTGTCACCCAGGCTGGAGGGCAGTGGCCTGATAATAGTTCATGGCAACATTGAACTTCTGTGCTGAAGTGATACTCCTGCTTCAGCTTCCTGAATAGCTGGGGACTATAGGCATGTACCACCAGTCCCAGCTAAGTTTTAATTTTTATTTTTTTATAGAGATGGAGGTCTCATTATGTTGCCCAAGATGGTCTCAAACTCTTGGGTTCAAGCAATCCTTTTGCCTCAGCCTCCCAAAGTGCTGGGATTACAGGCATGAGCTACTGCGTGCAGTCCACATGGGCAGATTAAAAATTCAAAGAAAGACATGTTCAAAGAGAGATGGGAAACCATGAGAGTGGTACCTGAACCAGCCTAGGATCATCAAAAGGCGCTACCTGGGCCAGGTGTGGTGGCTCATGCCTATAACATAGCACTCTGAGAGGCTCAGGAGTTGGAGACCTGCCTGAGCAAGAGCAAGAACAAGAGTCCATCTCACTAAAAATATGAAAAAAAAAAAAGTGAGAGTTGTGGCACTCTACCCAGGTTGACAGAGCAAGACTCTGTCTTCAAAAGAAAAAAAAGTGTTACTTGGAGGAGCTGACTTGTGAGCTAAGTCTTGAATCAGCAGATGTTACCAACTGAAGGATTGAAGTGGGATGAATTCTATACTTCATGTTTATAGTCTCCAATGACGTTTCTCCTCAGCCTAAGTATTCCCACATAAATGAGTCATTTATTACCAACATTTATTTAAGAGCCTGCTATTTGGCAAGTACTGTGCTAAGTATCTAAAGATCACCAAGTAAGGTATAACAGGGAAGCTATATAAAGAAATAAATTCAGTAAAACACTATTGGTACTGTATTGGCACACATAGTAGCCAAGGAGGGAAAGGTTTCTTAAGAGTTGGTGAAGAAAGTTATTTAAAGATGAATAGGTTCAGTCAGACACGGAGGCTATTTCAGGCAGAGAGGACATTATGTACAAAGGCACTGACAAGTAAAACCACTTGGCTTGTAGAGGAAATCACCCACAGTTTGGTAGGGTAGTAGAGAGGGGAAGTACTGGCAGGGGCCAGATTTTGCAGAGGCTTGCCTGTCATCCTAGGAAGCCTGGACTCTATCCTGGAAGCTATTAAAAGGATTTAAGGAGGTGAATAATAGGTTCATGTGTGGATTTTAGGAAGATTAATCTGGCTGCTGTGTGACGCGAGTTTGTAGGAAGAAGAGGCTCCATTTCAGTGAGTTAGGGAGTATATGTTGGACTAGAGAAAGGGGGCCATTGTTTGAGTTAGGTTTAGGAGTTGGAGTGACCGACCTGATGGCCACTTGGACGGGAGAAGGGAGGGAAGGCAGGTGCCTAAGCATTTCGGCCTGGGTGAAGGATGGACAGTAGCCTAGGTACGGAGGTGAGCAGCAGGAAGTGGGGCTATTTGAAGTGTCCAGTATAGTGGACATGTTAGAGTGTATGGAGCCGCTGCTACTGCCAGGAGACACGAGTAGGAAGCAGCTGAAGCCACAGGTGTGAACGAACGGTGGCGGGTGTCACAGAGTGACCCTCAGATGCTTGTTTAGAAGCTTCTAGCACCTGCATGTTGGGGGTGGTACCTGTAGTGCGCAGGAAACTGCCCCCTCAGCAGCAGCAGTCCCAGAAGGGAGCTGAGGCCCATCACCAGGAGCAGAGCAATCACTAAGGAGATCCAGGCTAAGGGACAAAAAACATCAGATCTCAGCAGACTCTGGTCGAAGCCCCGCCCCCAGACCCACAAGACTAGGTTCTGGCTCCGCCCCCTGTCACCCCGGGGCACAGCAGAAACCAGCGCAGCCGCAGACCGGTGAGGTCGAGCCCCTCCCCTCCCCCCGACGCCACGCCCCTCGCCCGTCGCCCTTCCCAGACCCCTTTACCAGCCGCTGGTGCGCAGTCTTTCGGCTGTGGCCTGGCTCGACTCACCGGTCTCCGAGGCGGTCTCCACCCTCGCTGGGTCGGACCAGGAGCTCCAGGGGCCTTGGTAGGTGGGGCCGTTGAGCCTGGCGCGCAGCTGTACTCGGTAGCGAGATCGTGGGCGCAGCTCCAGGGTCCCTCCCTGCGCTCCGAGAGGCGGCTCCAGCACCTACACAGAAAAGCGTGCTGTAGCATGGCGTCGAAGCCTCGAGAACCTGGCCACCACATGACCAAAATCCTACGCTTTGAATCCCTGGGAGGTTGAGGATCAACACGAAGGGCCTTAGTGGCCAAAACGCGTAGAAGCATTCAGGATAGAGCACCCTTACCAAGAGCTTCTTACTGGCTCGGCCACTCCCAGCCTAAGAGAAGCACGCCAGGATACATTCCCTGGCACCAAGACCTCACCTGGTCAGGGAGCTCTGCATCCTGACACGCATGCCCACTGTAGGCCCTCAGCAGAGATCCCAGTACACATACGCCTTGCAGGATGCTCTCACCATAACTCCAGGTCGGGCGATGGCCACCCAAGACACTCAGATACTTAGAGCCACACAGACCAGGTCACATGATGCCCATGCCTCAGAGGATGCCAGGTGCTAGGGTAGGAGCATCACGTATGTGTGCAAGTAGAAAGGCAAACATTGCGAACTGTTTGTGATAAGCCAAACACTGGGGTAGGCACTTGGGAAAAAGAAATAAAGCGCGGGCTTTCACATGTCTAATAGGGGAAACATCCAAGCAGGAAAATAATCACAATGACTTAGTGCAAGGCACTGTGAGAACCCAAAGTAGCATTTAATACTCCTCAAACTGCTTGGTTAGGTGTTGTAGAGTAGTTCAGTGTGCCAAAAGTGTGGACAGGAAGACTGAATAGTCAGAGATGAGGCTAAGGCAGTTGTAATAGGTATTTGACGACTTTGGCACGTTATTGTACTCAGCTTACTTGCTAATAAATAGGTGGATGGGATAAGAGGAAAGGAAGAGTCAAAAGTTCTTTGAGGCTTGGACAATGGGTGGGTGCCATTGTCAGATGAGGGACAGAGGAGAAGGAAGTTTGGGGAAGACATACTTTGTGGTTCCGTTTTATAAAATTCAACAGGCAAAATCAATCAATGGTAATGTCAGGGTAGTGGTTACCTTTGGTGGTGGGGTGGCTGTAGGTGTAAGGAGCTTCTTATGGTGCTGGAAATAACTTATATCTTGGTCCTGGTTGTGGTTAGATGGGTGTATTGTACACATGTACTAATTATATATTTAAGATTTGTATGCTTTATTGTATGTAAATTATATCTCAATAGAAAAGTAAAACTTGAGGAGGAAGATGAATTCAGTTGCGGATACATTAAGTCTGAAACAGTCTGAGGGGGAGGGGGTTGATAGAACTGTCTAATAAGAAGTTGGATATATGTGTGGTAAATGAGAATAAAAGTAGACAAAGATACTAATATTTAGCTAATGCATATTGAACATCTTCTATATGTCATGTAGTATGCTAGGTATTTATATACAGTATTTAATTTTTTACTATAACTCTATAAGGTAGCTAGCTTTATCCTTATTTTACCAATGAGGAAAATTTAGGTAATTTACCTGTGGTTTATAAGTTCCTTTCTGTATCAGGGTTGGAAAGGTAAAATTGGGATCATTAATGTGTAGTCATTCAAACCAGGAGTTGAAGCACTCACCTAGGGAGAACATGTTTATTTTTCAAGAGAAATAAAGAGCCTAGGATGGGACTCTAGGACACACAACATATTATACAGGGTGGAAATGAGCAAGCCAGGAGAGGAGGGTGAGAACGTTCAGTCAAAGGGGTAGGAAGAAAATCAGGGGAGACATATCCAAGAGGCAAGAGGAAGAGAAAATTTGAACTGAAAGTAGACCGCAGTGTTAGACACCCAAGAGCAATTAAGATACCAGTTAGACCAGATAAACACAGATATACTAGCCAAGACTTGGATCCACGAACACTTTCACTCCTGATAGTAGACATGACAAGCCTTGGGAATACCCTGTGCTGGGAGACCTGTGGACATTAGCTGCATGGCCATACCTTCCAGTCCTGATGGCCTTCTCCTGTGTATCGGAGTTGATAGCAGGTCTCTTGGGCTGCCCAGGATGATGGGTGCTGCCACTCCAATTCTAGTTGCCCACTGGAGACTTCCTTCCAGTGCAAGTTTGGGGTGGGGATGAGCACTATGAGGCATCATGCCAACCAAGGCCATAGGTCAGAAGTGTCAGAGTTAGGGATCTTGGGCAGAGGGTTGGATTTGGTAGGGGTGGGAAGAAAGTTCTTACCAGCCTGGTGGATCCAAAAAGGGGATCCCAGGTAGCTGTGAACAGCACCCTGGGCTGTGGTCACCTCCACAAGAATGTGAATAACACTGTCATTTCGTGACTTGAAGTGGCAGCGAGAGAACTGGGGGGTCTGTAATCCTGGATTTGTTTTCTCCTCCTCTTCACACTTCTCCCAGATGGGGTATCTAAGAGCCAGCCCCACAGAGTCATTGAATCAGGCCTGCGCTAGAGACCAATCTTGATACTCCCTGTCCCATAGAAACTATGGCCTGCATGGATTATAATCCAGTGTCTCCCTTGGTGGGCCTCTGGGACTTTCCCTCTGTCTTCATATCATGGCATTTTATTTTCTGAAGTCTGAAGTCTGCTTTGTTGTCTAGCCTCTTCTCTTTGAGAAAAGATCTAGCATGGTAAGTGAAAATAGCATGGGGTATAGCATTCAGGTCTTGGTTTACCAGTATACAACTTTGGGCAGATTACTTGTTTTATCTCTGCCCTAGTTTCCTTCCATTTGTAAAATGGGTTAATAGGATTGTATCCAAGATTGAAGAGGCTTAGTTTTTCTGGAGGAAAACACCCTATATTTATAATTTGTTCTCATATAGCAGCCCTCTTATTCACCTTGATGTGTTATTTTGCTATTAGAGTATTACAATAGCCTCCTAACTGGATTTTCACCCTCCATTTTTGCCATTGCCTTTGATTTGGCTTTCACATGGCTACCAGAATTTGCTTCTAAAAATGTCGATGTGATAATTTTCAGGATATATCTTAAATCTATTTATTTTGATCTTTACCACTGCCACATGAAGGGAAATCACCATTATCTTATGCCTGGATTAAGGCAGATTTCTAACTGATAGAACTCTTATTTACAAGAGAAACATATATGTTACAGAGAAACATTTTAAAAATGTAAATCATATCATGTCACTTTTTTGCGTAAAATCCTGCAGTGGCTCTTCATTTTACCTGGAATAAAATCCAAACTCAACTCCAGGGCTTACAGGACTCTATATGATTTTGTTGCTCCTAACCTTGCCATCCTTACCTCCTGTTTCTTGTGCCAGTTTGTCAGCTGGACCTTCATCCACATGGGCCTTCTTTTCTGTGCCGCAGATATTTTAAATGCACTCTTTGCACTTTGCCTTTGCCCTGCATTGCTCTGATTGTCCATCTTCGCTGACTCATTTCTTCTTGCCACTTAGATCTCACCTCACCTGTCACCTCCTTGGTGAGGCTTTTCCTGACCTCTTGGCCTAAATTAGCATCCCCTACCCAATCCCTATCATAGGAGGTTGAACAATTAAGTTCTCAAACTTATCCTAGAAAAAGTGCTATATACCTTATTGCTGAATATCACTACACTCACCTTCAATGATATTCAGCAATGAGGTATATAGCACTTTTTCTAGGATAAGTTTGAGAACTTAATTGTCAGATCTCGTATCACCTTGTTCCTTTCTTTTTTTTTTCTTTTTAACTTGTCTGTCTGCTCATCTTTCTTCCTTCCCCACAACTGAAATGTAAGTCTCAACAATGCTGGAACCTCTTCTGTTTTATTTGTTACTCTGTCTATCCCCAATGTTTTGTACATACTTATTCTCAATACTTGTTTTTTGGTTTTTTTTTTTTTGAGACAGAGTCTCACTTTGTCACCCTCGGTAGAGTACTGTGGCATCATAGCTCACAGCAACTTCAAACTCTTGGGCTCAATCAATTCTCTCGTCTCAGCCTCCCAAGTAGCTGAGAGTACAGGTGCCCACTACAACGCCCAGCTAATTTTAGAGATGAGGTCTCATTCTGGCTCAGGCTGGTCTCAAACCTGTGAGCTCAGGCAATCCACCTGACTCAGCCTCCCAGAGTGCTAGGATTACAGATGTGAGCCACTGTGCCTGGCCCCTCGATAATTGTTTATTGAACAAATGAATCATGTTTCCTTCCTGATTATAACCCCTAAGTGGCCTTCCATCACCGAAATTATTTATCACTTAAGTTGTGCCAGGCACTGTGCTAGGACCTATGAGTACACAGAGGAATCTAATCATCTTCCAGAAGCTCTTATTTCAGTGCGAGAGACAGAGAAGAGATGATATTTTTCTGTGGTGTGCACAGGCTGGCTTGAGAGCATCAGAGAGAGAAGCATCTAACCCAGACAGGGAGGGTCATGGAACACTTCCTGGATAAGGCAGTGTTTAGACTGACTCTCATACTAAAAATAGGATAGGCAAAGAGGACAAACAGGCATCCCAGGCACATGCTTATGCACAGATAAGAGAGTGTGGTGCTTTGGGGGGAATTCTATGTGGTTCAGATGATTTTAGCATGGGGGCCTGGTAGTAAATGGTAAATGTGAGACTGTAGACCGCGTCACAGATGGTCCTGTGGCCTTTCTGTGGAGCCTGAATTTAATCTTGTGGCAATTATCAAGACTTTTAAGTATTTTAAGCAGGGAAGTATGGTAATTAGCTTTGTTCTTTAAGACACACAGTTTTTACAAAGGATTTGTGAGGGGCCGGGTGACTCCTGCCTATAATCTTAGCACTCTGGGAGGCCAAGGCAGGTGGATTGTTTGAGCTCAGGAGTTTAAGACCAGCCTGAGCAAGAGTAAAATCCCATCTCTACTAAAAATAGAAAACTGAGACAAGAGAATTGCTTGAGCCCAAGAGTTTGAAGTTGCTGTGAGCTATGATGAT